CATGCGGCTTTAGGAAATGTCCTTTAGTTTTGCCTAAACTAGAATTGCTTAACTTGGCATTGCAAAACATGTGTTTAGGACACTGACTCCCATCACGTTCTGTTATACATCTGAATTCATATTGTACGTATTCATATGACCACTTTCTTTTTTTTTTTTTTCTTTTGCTCGACATAGTATAAAGGTATTGAAAAACTAGGCAGGAAATCACAAATGACATACAGTCACAAGTCAGCTACTGTAGCACGGAGATGTCAAAACCAAGTGGTGTGACATTGTAGCATGATCAGTTGCAGCCAGTGATGGCCAAGGGAAGCATGATGTCATGAATTATATGAGTGAGGGAACGGAATTGGAACACACATAGTGTGTATATGTATGTGAGTGTAGGTGTGTCTTGACTGCTGCTGAACCCATGAGGTTCGATTGAACCCAAGTTAAGAACCACTGGATTTAGTTTGAATAAAGTATCAAGAGATATTTCAAAACTAGAGAATAAAAAGCTAATCAATTACAATTTGATTTAATCACTGGTATCCTCATTTAGGTAGATTAGGTGTAAAGAGTGGGGAAGAAGTAGGAGTTTCTTTATGTTCATTTGTAATTTTTGTTGTGTGAGTATGAACTTTCACAAACCTCACATGTACTATGCTATGATTCTGAGTGGGAGGTTGAAATTGACCCTTGACAAAATACAGATACATGAATAATCCCATTTTTCTTATTTTGATGGTAATATTTGTGTGTGTTTTTTATATATATATATATATATATATATATATATATGATATTGTAGGCTGCATTAAGATACCTGGTTTGTTTACTTACATCAGAAAGCAACAAAAAAGATTATGAACACCACAGTGATATTCTGCATGACAACAATCTGAATTCACTGGTGGTTCACTGTACTACATATGGCCACAGTTTCAATTTTAAGCAATGACAGTCTGATCAGAAGAGAACAACATAATTGACTGAGATGTAAAAGCATTGAAAGTGCACTAATCTCACAGCTCTTAACAATGAATCTAAGACTGGGGCCATACATTTTTTTCACAATCATTGCAAAGACAATAATAGCACATTACAGTATACAAGTTAGTGGAGAGAAGGGCAGGGAGCTACTTGGAGTTGGCTGATTTAAAAATCTAGAGACCCCCCCAACAACTCTAACATGTATATGTCTGTGGGTATGTGCATATAAAAAAAACACACTTCACAAACTATATATAAAAAAAGAAAAAAGGGGTTCAAACGTACATTGTGTTTGTGTGTATATGTATGCATGCATGTATGACCAACCTACCTCCAGGATGAAAATTATGCAAATTTAATTCTTGTTGGAGGTATATTGTCTATAATCAGACTTCCTTCTGTCTAAACTGGTGAACATTAATTTTACCATTTTGAAGAAAAAAATGGATATCCTCTTAAGCATGTGTATCCATATATAATTTATAGACATATATGTGCCTAACACTTGCATTCCTGACAACTGTTCTTTTTTATTTTAAAATTATAACATAAATTTGCAAAAGCAAATTTCAGTTTAAAAAATTGCCAAATTCACTTCTTAATTATGAATATTTTTCATTTAGAAGTATTTAATTTGGTCATGCAGAAAATGGCTAAAGCTAAGAGGAGGAGAGATGAAGTAGTGGTAAAGACAGTAGGTAGTCATAAGAAAATTCTAAACTGAACTATGATACTCTTTCATTGTGCTATGAGATCATTAAAGTTTTTATATATTTCTTTTATCCTACCAGTGATCTCATAGATTACATGAAGAGTGTGTATTTGCATATGGACTATTGTCCTCATCTTTATTATAAAAGATTTCACCCATTTCCATTCTTAGAAAATTAATGGAGAACAAACAGTGGATATGAAGACAGGCAGTGAGTAATGCATTTTAGCAGTAGTCATAGTGATGTGTATAACAAACCATGTTTCAAGTGGCTCGTGCTGAAAATGTATAGCAATAGTGAGTGTAGAAATGTCTTGTTGAAAACTTGCTCTATCCAGTGGTGTTATCTGCTCCCTGTATTTGTTACAGTTTCCATGGAAATGAACAGGAAGTATTATATCTTGTATATAGAAAGTATCAGCCAAAAGTAGTAATTGGTATGGATGTAGAATTCCTGATGGGAATTTCCTTAATTCCTGCAAAGAATTATCTCGTATTTTGGCAGTGGATGTACTGTTGTAATTCTTCTGTTATGTTTCTCCACCAGTGGTTTTAGATGCTGCAGAGCTCCCTCTGACAGTGAGCCTTGAGATGGAGGAATTTGGTTTTCAGTCGTTGAGATGATGGATCAGATTCATATTCAATTTTGGCTTTCTGTTTTGCTTCAATTTGTTGGGAGATCTCAAGATTGTTCTGGTTGAACCAGTCTTTCTGGTGTCTCTTCATGTGTCTGATAGTTTCTTTTGCAGCTTTGCACATGGTCACTCAAAGTAATGTCCACACTTCTTTGATTTATTGGACAGAGGTTGGCATCTCAAGATGATGCTTGATTGCTGCTGCGTATTCCCCTGGCTACATTTAGATCTCTTGATTTTTGCCATGTCTCTGGCTGTTTGATGTGTGGGTAAAGACAAAAATTGATCTTTTCAATTGGGACATGGAAGCTGCAGAAAAAAAAACAATTGGAAAAGAGCAGTTCATGAAAAAACAATATCCTTCGAAAACACCAGAAGACAAATAGAAGAGAGGAAAAGAGCCCGAAGAAAAGCCAGAGCTTCCAATTCCCTGAACCTTCCTATCCTACCATACAATGGGTGCAGACATCTTTTTTAGATTCAACTTGGGACTCCTTTCACACAGAAGGAAATATCAATGAGAATCTTCAATACTTGGCAAGAAATTCTGCCATATATCTGGTGTATAAGAAGGTAGAAATCACTGAAAAACTTATAATTTTTTTATTTTTTTTTAAATCTTTTTTTCTTACCATTTATTTAGATTTGGGCAGGAGCGTAGGTATTAAAAACTCTGCAAAATAAAAAGAATTAACTAACAAAAATAATAATCTACAAGAATTCCCGGAATCTAATTTTGATCCACCCCATATACATATATATACCAGAGGGTGCAGTCTCAGCTCAATCCATTTCTTAAAATCATTCTGATGTTTGGTCACTGAAATACTAATTTTAGGAAGTGAGTTGGGCCAAGGTTGTTTTGAAACTCTTATGTATATGTTATGAATATGTACAAGTCCACACCTACACTCTGACCCATCACTAGATATCTTTACAAAGAATATTTTTTCTCTGGTGTGCCACCATGGTTGAGGAGGAAACATGGGAAAGTGAAGGGGGGGGGATCTCATAATTACTTACACCAACTTGGCAGAAATGATAAAAAGCTATTATGTCTATTGTCAATATTGACAGTCAATGTATATGAATTATGTTCTTGAACTGGACTATGTAGTAACCATTTCCATTTTCAAGAGATCATGTTTTGACATTATTTGGAATTTAACATATGACGCTGGTTTCTGGATTGTTTTGGTTTGTAGGAATCTAAGAGATAAATATTTTTACTTTAACTTTTATTTCAAACTTGGCATTCCAATTTTGAAAGAATTGTTTACCATATAATTTATGTTGGGAATTTTGTCTTTTTTTGTGTGTGTATGTGTCTAGAATTATAAGAAGGTGGTGAAAATATTTTGGCCTGACTAAAAATCTCCTTCCAAAATAAATTACAATCATTTACATGTATACTGTTGTTCTCGTCTTTGTTGCTTTCACACTGTTTCAGCCGTTGTGCCCTCTGACCTTCATTAGTTATATGTCACTCTGGGTAACCTGCAGGGAATTTCAAACCGAACCCTTTATTTAATCTACAGGGGTTGATTTTTCTCATTCCACTGTTCATGTCTAGGGATATCTTGTATAGTTCTTGTTTAGTATTTAGGCTAAATTCCACTAATAAATTAGTAATTGCATGTTTGATTGCAGAGCAAGGCAGTGGGTACTTCGACTCAGTAGAAACAGGCTGAGCAATAACTGAAATAAGAAATAGATGAGCTAACCTTATTCCCAGATTAAATAATCAAAATTCCCAGAAGGTTGCCTGGATAAATCTATTCATTCTGTAGCCACTTGTGTCCCTAGAGGAGAGAATGCTAAAAGAGCTTGAGCAATTATTCCTAGTTTCACTTTAGACTCTGCTTTGTGCCATATTCCATTTGGATAAATATTGACATCCCCACCTTTCTTCAGGACTTTTTACTGTTTCTTACCTGTTGATCCCCCCCTCTCTCTCTCTCTGTCTGTTAGACCATAGCTTCTGAATGAGAAATTAGAGCCAAGTTTAAATTCCAGTCAAGTTTGTTGCAATTGTTTATGTGCAAATATTGGAAATAGGTATGAATCCATCTCCCTCCAGCTGTGGGTTCAATAATAGGACTTGTATCTGGAAAAATCATTGTCTCCCCCAAAATTGTTAATATTCACTTGCAAAAAAAAAAAATTAGTCTTACATAAAAAAAATGACAAAGGATTGATAAAGTGTTAAAAAAAAAAATTCATCAACCAACCAACATATCTTTTGAATTCTTCTTGCTTATTCCCCCCCCCACTCTCTTCCTGTTCAACCATATCTTCTGATCACTTCTTAACTGTTGTTGCTGGCCTTCTGTGTCCTTTTCTAACTTTCCAATTCTATGTCTGTTGTGTTCTTTATTTTATACTTGTCTCCGTTTCAGTTGAATGCACTGCAAACATTTTTATACTGTAATCAAACCTCATCAGGGTCATCTTTTGTTCTTACTGCATGAGCAAGTAAGGGTAATTATTGGAAAGTGGTTTGTCTAAATGCTTCCTTTTTCATCAGCCATCATGTTATGATATCTGGAAATGGGTCAGAATGCCTGGTGAAGTCGATTTGTTTTTGCTTTTGAATATTAAGTAGCATCTGCTAGAATTTAGATTCAGTTTGCTAATTCCATTTTATATCATCTTTTTCTTTTTGTATCAGAGGCTTACAGCCATATCGTGTTGAATCATCAGTTCTTGTATGGACACCGAAGTTAAGCAGCATTGAACCTGATCAGTACTTAGATGGGTGACCACTTGGGAATACCAGGTGCTGTAAGCTTTGATGTGCATATGGTGTAATGGATAACATCTTGAAATGATAAGTCACTTATGTGCAAATACCCTTGGGAAAGTTATGAATCCACCTCTTCTCCCTCCATCTATAGGTTAAATAGTGACAAGTGTATCTGAAAATTATCATCTCAAAAAATGGTTAATACAATATCCACTTACAAGAATTATTCTTACAATCCTAAAATATGCTCCGGCTTTAGATAACCTACAAAAGGTTTTAATAATCATTTTTTTTTTTTTTTAAATCATTTTTGTATCAGGAATGGAAATGTTTTTTCTGAATGGTTTTTGGTACCAGTCAGCCTTTCTTGTTTATTATTGAACTTTACCTCCCAACAATTGATCTAAAGATTAAATGATTTTTTTTTTTATTTTCATTAATCCCAGCAGTTATTCTTGGTGAAAAATATACCTTTGCTACCTTTCTTCTCTTTCCTTTTGTTTTTTGAAAAGCCCTCCTCAATGAAACCATCACTCTATCTCTGATTAATACATTTCTCACTAAGAACTGTTTTTGCTGTCCTTTTCATTTCTTTAGGATCCTTTTCTTTATTCTTTCTTTTTTTTTTAATTTATCAAATGTTCTTAAATTCTAATTAGAAATGCTAAAATAGTATTAAGAAAAATAGCTTTCTGTTGCATATTATGTTTCTAGTTTACAGCAGTTTCTGTGTACATTTGCAAGGGAACAATTTCAAAAGGGGATGGATGGTAGCCAAATTTAATTAATATATGAAATATATTATTACTAGAGATTTCTTTTTTTTTATTTTACTTTATTTTATTTTTTAAGAAGTAGTCTGGGAACTTTCCGATACCATCAAGTATAAACATTTACCAAGGCCACAAGTAATACTCACTGCAGACTGCTCTTGGAACTCTTTACTGGTCACCTAAACTAGTGCATTAACCATTACTTCACAGCAAAGAGCCCTTTTATATAAAATAGATTTTAGGAAATTTTAATTAAAATTCTCCCATTTTACTTTGCTAGATTTTACATTATTTACAATCAGACTAATGTCCTTATCTTTGTTATGATCACATTTCGGCAATTGTACTTCTGAACTTCTGTTTTGATTAGGATATGTTTCAGAGAATTTCCAACTGAACATGATATGCTATTCGGGGTGGGGTACATTGTTCTTCTTTTACTATCTGTTTCTGGTGTTATTTCATTTTCATTCATTGTTTAGTTATTGCTAGTCCTGATTCCAAGGAGTCTGAGTATACTACTTGGCACAATGATTGAGTTCACAATTACTATGTTTATTTCTTTTTGATTTGTTTTTTTCTCTCCTGGTATTTCTGGCTTATGTTGTTCTTTCTTAATTAATGGCTCCTATATGGTATTAATATTAATACTAGGCCTACTGTGGCAGCCATTATAGCCTAGCATATGTGCCGATTTCTTCTAATTTTCCAGTGTTCTCTCTCTAGTATTTTATTTTATTTCTTTTTTTTACTTCATTCCAAAGGGGCTGATGTACTCTTTTTACTCTCTACATGATTAGCTGTGCTTGATTTCATTATCTCACCCTTAATTACAGCTTTTTCAGTGTTCTTGCAACTTTTAAGAGTCGACTGAGTTCACTTTTATATTCTTTGCTCTTCTCTATAATGTTGAGCTGCTTTTGATAATATTGTCTTGTTGTATGTACTGCAGATTTTTTTTTTTTTTTTTTACATTATTCCTAATATGCCTTAATAACACTGATGGATGATAAACAAAACAAAAAACAATCTGTAGCAACAAAAGGAATGCAAAAAAAAATAAATATGATTGTAGAGGGGGCCAAGCTTGACACCAAGGCAGCTGCAGCAGCAGACTTTATATGCCTAATTGATGTTTACTGAATTTAGTAATAATAATAAACTTTAATATTAAATAACCAAATGGTTGATATTTTTTTTCTTTAAAACCATCAATCCAACCTTACATTCTATAAACTGATTATCAGTGAAAACCTAAAGTACTGAAGGGAAAATTTAAATTATTTTCAGCAAAATATTTTACAGTAAAATTTTTGTGAAAAATCATTTCTTTGTAGACACTTTGATGGCATCTTCAAGCAATCTATTTTTGATAAAGTTGATAAAGTTTTCAGCATTGGTCAAAATCAAGATACATTGTATGGACAATATTTTTTAGAATTTTTATGATTATAGTCATGCTGTGGATGTGTGTTTGGGAGTAGTTATCAAAGCAGAAAGGGAAATTTGTTGCATTCATTTTTGCACAAATACCCTCAAGTAAGATGAATATATCTCACCTCCCTCCCCTTAACTGTATTAATTAAATAGGAAGGCAGACTAGGCTTTCTAACCTTTGTTGGCAACCAATCTTGGAGGATAACTTTGAATTCTAAACTTGCGGGGCTGGCAGTTCTACATTATAAAAACAAATAGTTTCTATAGAAACGGCAGCAGCAGCAGCATCTAGTGTGATGAGGCTAATGAGTAGGAGTTATGCTGTTGTCACACAATTTCTCATGCTAAGAAAAACAAATGAAATATCTTTGCAGAAAGTGACTAAAGTTAATGGATAGCAGTAAATCTCACTATATTTATATAATCATTAAAGCAAATAAATTTTGATATAAGTCATGGGCCATGCGTGATACATGCTTAGGCGATCATGTATCTTTCAATATATGACAAGCCTGATTTTTCCTGCAGTAGGTTGTCATTTCTTTTTGCGATAGACCAGTTGCCATCTGAGGCTATAGAACCTGGTCTGTCCTGCTATTTACCCATAGCTGGGGGTGGGGGAGAAAATATATTACCTTTTCTCAAGGGTATTAGCACATAAGTGAATGTAATGGATCTGACTGGAATTTGAACTCTGCTCTCTGATTCCTCAATCTGAGCTGCTATCCATTACTCCACCATGCCTCCTATAAAATTTTGATATACTTGCTCAATAAATTCTGCTTGTGATATCAAACTTTACTAAAAAGCTTATTTATTATATGCCATATAAATATGAAAAGCTATTTCTTTTTATTCCATTTTTTCTTCAACAAGTATTCTTGTCTTTATTATCTTTAATTTCAACTAATGTATTCTCCCATTTTCATCAGGTGTATCTGGTATCTACCAATTAATTAATTTAACATTTATAATAATAATTTTCCAATGACAGCAACATAAATTTATCCTGCATTTTTTTTTTTTTTTTTTTTTTTTTTTTAGGAAAGTAAAACAAATATAGTGAGCAAAACAACAAGCAATTTTTGTCCAAATTTTTTTTTTGTCCAAATAATAAAATAACAATATTTCATGTCAACAGATGTTTTATATTCATGTTATTAGTAAATATCTTTAGCTGAATTTACTTTGGAATGAATATAATATTTCTCAAATATAGTGCTGGTGTTTTTGTGGTGGTGGTTTTTTTTTTTTTTTTTTTCATGCATTTTTGGTGACCAGTTGCACTATACACAGATAATTTTTGTCTGGAGGTGGTTAAAATTCATGTAAAATTTTTAGGGTTCACACTATACAAGAAGTAGGCTTATACACAAGTATATACTGTATTTCTTACCAGAAAATGCTTTACTATCTCATCAGAAGTTGTTTTAATACTTTCCTTTGTGAGAATGCCATCAAGATTCAATTAGTGTCCAAGCAGCCTGAATTCAATTAAGATCATAAATATCTTCATTTAACACCATTTAATGTTTACTAGGATTTATTTGTAAGACATTGAGGAGTGTTAAAATCCTCCTAGCATTTACTGTTGTTGAAGTTATTGCCAACATTTTTTGTCAAAATTTACAAACTCTACATGTTGTTAAATTTCTCCATACTAATTTGACAAAGCTGATTTGTTTGGAAAAATACTTTGAATAAAACCCTATTCGGTTAATAATTTCTTTAATTTTATAGGACTTCATGGTAAACAATATTTTTTTTTAAATTTCTTTTTTTTTTTTTCCTTTTTAAAAGCGAAGAATAACTTAAGATTTCTTAGTCTTGAGCATGTAACATACAACTGGCCATGCGTAAATATTTCTTTCTGGAGCAAATTCCAACTTTTTGAAGTGTTTGGCCTTGTGATTTGTTTATAGTTCTTGCAAATGTAGGTTAAACTGGATTCTTGTATATGTAAATGCTTAAAAGATGGTGCATTTTTATGAAATAAGTATTTGTTATTTTAATCATTAAATTGTTTTTAAAATAGTGGGAGTATTTTGTATGTTAAATAAAATTTTTTTTTTTTTTTTTTTCACTCAAAAATAAATGAAAATTTATTGTATTAAGCTATGTACCCTAGTAAAACCAATTGTATTTTGTACTCCCTTATCTGTTTCCGGTTCTCTCCAAAATTTGGTTTCAATCAGTCAGTGTATGGCTTTTTCAGAGGGTATGAGATATATATATATATATATATATATATATAGGTTGATTTCCAGTTTAAAATACCGGAAATAACAGTTGACAAGTGTTTATTTATAGCAACCACCTCAAGGTGACATAATGCGCCTAGAGCAGCAAAGGGAGAGAATTCTACGGTGACAATTTTTGCCTCCAGTGTGGTAATGGTTAAGTACTACTGCAGGGATACTATCAAATTCACATACTTCGTGGGGGTTCTAGTTTAGAGATGATAGCAGAAACCATGGACAGAGGTATATGTATATCACTCAAAGACTCTGTTCTAAGTGGAAAGTCAGGCAAAGATACTCCAGGAATAGAATTTGAAGAGAATTTATGAGCAAAACATTGTGCTTTATCAGCAGCAGATGTTAATACCTTAAATTAAGAGAAGAGAAGACTTGCTCTGATTTAACACACCAATGTATGGTTTTCTGTAGTGAAAATGGTTGATATAATAGGGAGTGGCTGAATGGACATGATATAAGTGAAGGAGATATTCCAATTTTGATTGCTGATACCTTTTATGTCATTGCTTTTGAAAGCCATGGACCCAAAGCTACCTGTGCGTTCTCCCATTGCCAGTTTTCATCTTGTTATATCA